AAAAAAAAAAAAAAATAAATCCCGAGGGTCCTGGGCGGGTGGCGCGTCGGGCGCGGGTGCGGGGGTTTGGGCCCGCTTGGGTGGCGGTAATGGTGGTGGCAATGGCGATGTCGTCGGTGGTTTTTTTTTTTTTTTTCGAGCGGCAAGGGATCGTCGTCGTCGGTTACGACCGGTTGTGGTGGCGTTTGTGCCCGCCGTCGGTGGTTTCTGCGGGGAAGCCGCCGTTATTTCTATTTTTCTTTATTATTATTATTTTTTTTATTTTTGGTAATTGTTTTTTTTTTTTTTTTCGCGGGGCGTCTGGGCGTGTACATTGCTCCTTCTTTTAAAAGGATGAATAATTCAGGAACCTTCAAACCTTTAGTTTCTTCTGTTTGCAAAACAGCGTTTTCATGGCAGAGCGCACTTTCCTACTATCAGCGGTCTCTTCTGGAGTGTGGTTCTTCACTTGAGCTAGAACATGCGCAGAGAATAGCACTTTTATTTCTTAAAGAGAATGGTGAGGCACAACAATTGAGCTCTTGGGCGAAACTTTTTACTTCAGAAGGAGTTCCAACTTGTTCCCTTATGTTGAAGGCACTTGTTAGACATGATGTATGGCGTACTGCTGTAACTTTGTGGAAGTGGAACCCTAATGATGCACTTGGGGAGGCTTTAGTGGATGAATTGATGTCCAGAAACCTTTGGGAACAATCACTAGATATAGTTAATCATATTTTAAGTGATAATACTATTGCATCAGGTGAATCAAATATAAACTCTTTGACAGATATAAAAAAGCTAGAAAATTTTAAAGATGATGTCGCTTTAGCTTTAAATGATACTATTCGTCTTATAAGTGATCCTACTTTTATTCCAATGGAAGAATGTAAGGCCCAAAGTGGTATGACCCGTTTGGCGAATAAAATGTTTCCAAAGAAATCTCAATGGAAAGAAGCTATTTCTCTATTAGTAGCACTTAGTGAACGAAATATATCTTCTCAAACACGAAGAGAAATCTTGGAACTTACTGTTGCAAAATTTTGTTATGATGGTAAACAATATCAAGAAGCGTTTAATTGGATAAGAAAAAATGAAATTGAACTTAACTCCAATTCTTTAAAACGAACCCATTTGCGTTGTGCTATTTATCTAAAACGATTTGACATTGCAATTTCTGTTTTGGAATCTTTACATAAACAAAATATAAAAGAAATTCCCATTCTTACATTATATGATTTTTGTAAAGGTTTTATCAGAGAAATTAATGAAGGAAGATGCTTTGAACTTTTGGATAGATTTGCTGATATAGTTTCAAAATGTTCATCTCTAATTTCTTCTGAGAAAATAAGAGTGGAGTTAAAGCAATTTTTTGTACAAAATGGTTTGGATACAACTACACTAGACGTTATAAACCTTTTGGAACAAACAAAAGGTTCATCTCTCTTTTTGGGTAATAAGGTTATTTCCAAAGATGATATGGGAAGTATTACTAACATTGATCGTGCCGCAACTTTATTGATGAGTAAAGGCGATTGGAAGGCTTCACTATGTTTGTTGGAGAAAATTCTGCAGACAGAAGCAGTAAACGAAAAGGAGAAAGTTATTCTTGAAGCGGCTCAGGCCTCAGTTGGAAATTGGAAAACTGCTATTCTGTTTTTTACCTAACGTATACTATGAAAAATGTTCTTGGTAAGAAGAAGGTTAATAATAACAAAAAAAAAGATAAAATAAAATAAATAATAATAATTGATAAAGACAGTATTGAATAAAGATTTAATAAAAATAATTAATTGTGTTGTTATTTTGGTTCCGCACCTTCTATTTTTCCCCTCTTTTATTTGTTTTTGTTAATACCAGTTGAGTTTTCAAGTGTTTAAGAGCAAGAAAACCGAGTTAAAAAAAAAAAAAGGAGTAAAGTAAGGAAAATGGTTCATCATCTGATTGTTAATATTACGTTCAACAGTCCGGAAATTCGTATTCTTGGACCTATTAAGGAACAAACAATCGATAAACTGAATGAAGTACTTCCAAATGCAACGACATCATCCCGCAGTACACGGTTTGCACCTCCAAAGTTTCAATATCTGTCCAACCCTAATCACTGGTATATTAAGCTCGATCGTCAATTTTGCGATGATGAGGGGATATCCCACCTGATGGTGCTTTTGCTGGACGCACTTGAGGAGGAGGGTGTTTGGAAATTGGTTTCGGCTACTTCTTTGCGGCAACCTATTGGGACTGGATCGAAAGATTATACTGAATCTCATGTTTTATTTTTGAACAAACTCGTCGGTGATGATATTTAGGGCTTCGTTTTTTTTTTTTTTTTTTGTTTTATTTTTCTTTCATTTTCTTTTTTGAAAATTTTGTCGATGTATAAAGTTTTTGTCCTATATTTATGTAGAAGTTGTTTTCTTTTTTTCATTTCTTCAGTGAAGAAGTGAAGTAGTTCAACCATGAAATCAGTGATCTGACGCTAGAGTGTTCTGTCGAATTGTGTCCGGTTGCGTTTTTACTTTGTCTTTTTTTTCGTAGTTTTTTTTTTTTTTGGTTAAAAATAAATCGATTGATACTGTGAAGAGAATCTCACCAGCGAGAATAAAAAAAGAAAAGGAAACAGGAGCTGATGTCCCGAGATGAGGGTCAACCGCAACCTACTGGTCTCAATGTGATTGGAACTGGAGTAATTGTTGATGATGGAACCATGGAGGACCTTATTGATAAACTCAGGCTTTTGCGCTATGAAGCTGATTTTTGTCCTCGAGTAAAGCCTCCGTTCAAACCTTTGAGCAAGTATTATTTTTCCGGTCCATCATCTATTGACAATCCAAATGCTCAGTTTCATTATTTTACATCTTTGTGCTCTTGGTTAATGGGACTTTGTGGTCATAGTTTTGAACCTCCTGGTCAATTTGATGATCCTACTGCCACATCAACAAATATATTAACAGAGTTACGTGCTATGAATTTATCAGCACCAAATCTTGCTCCAAATCGTATACGACAAGGAAATGGAGAAGCAGTTTTAACTATTCTTTCTGTCTTAGCAGATCAAGCTCTTTTAAAGAAAGGTTTTAATGTTCGTTCTATTGATTATACCAACGTTGAAAAATATGATGAACTTGACGGGGTAACTGAAACTGATGATGAAAACACAGTTGGAGAAGAAGTAGAAGATAATGTTATGATTGAAAGTGATGGTGAAGATGAAGTATATGTTCGTGCAACTGGAGAAAAATCAGCTAAAGAAGATAGTGGTATTCCAATAGAGTCTGAAATAAATGCTGAAGAGTGGAATTTGGAAGTTGAAAGAGTAGGACCAATGCTTCAAGTAAGATCTGAAGGAGTACAAGATTGGCGTTCTCGAATTGAAAGTGCGACTGTTCTATTAAAGGCTGTTGAAAAGATGTACCCAGAGGTGAAACAAATGCTTCAACATGTGGGAGATGACTTGGAAAAATCAAAGGATCGCATTCAGAAACGTGAACAAACTCTTGCTCAGCAATTTTCTGAACAGGTTGAAGACTATCGAGTTAAACTTCGTGAGTTAAATACCTCACAAGATTCTGCAAATATGGCAAACCAAAGTGTTCAACAACTTTCTGCCGAATTGAATCAAGTAAGTGGATTATTGGATCAAGTAAAAAGAGATATCGAAGAAAGGGAGGCAAAAATATCAGATACAACTCCTTTAATGCAAGTAAAAGATGCTGTAATGAAAGTGAGAGCAGAAATCAAGCAAATGTCTTTGAGAATTGGTGTATTACAACACACGGTTCTTCATTATGTGATGAAGCAAACTAAAGCTAAGCGGGAGAGATCAGGTAATGATATGGAGTTAGACGACTGGGAAGATTTAGAGTCTATGTAGTCTTATATTTTACATTCTCGTGGATAATGTGATTTGCAGTACATTTTTCTCGATATTGAGACAATGTAAAAAGTAGAGGAGAGAAAAAAAAAAGAAAAAAAAAAGACAAAAAAAAAAGAAAAAAAAAGGCAGGATGGAGTACACAATAGTAGACATCTTTTTTTTTTTTCTTCTTGTTATTGTTCATGTTTTCATGTGATTTTCTTGTTTTGTAGACTTATTTGTTGTGGTTTTTTTCCTTTTTTTTTCTTTTTTCATTCCCCCTTATTCTCTTAATGTGTTACTTCTTCAACTAAAATTCTTATGGGTATTAATTAGTCCTTTTTCTCTATTTCTCTTTTTTTTTCATCGTTCTTCTCTTTTTTTTTCTTTTTCTTTTTACCTCTATTACTGTTATTATTATTATTATTATTATTATTATATCTTTCCTCACATAGCTGATCGTTGGATTAAGAAATCAAAAAAAAAAAAAGAAAAAAAAAGGAAGAAGAATTAATGTCTGTAGAAGCACGTCTTTATCATGCAGAACAACAAGTAGATCAGCTGAATCAGCAGGTAAAGCTTCTGAAACAACTTGTCACCACAGAAGTACATGAGCTCCATCAATTTATGGAACAACAAGTTGCGGAAGTCAAAGAAGCAGTGATGCATCAGGATAAAATCTACCAGGAGAGAATGAATAAACTGGAAATACGTATTCATCAATTATCTGAATTCTGCTTACATCTAGCGTCTTCAAGTGGATACACGGGTTCTACAAGAGGGATAATACCATTTAATGGGGTTTCGCTATCTTCATCTGATCATGGTACTGTAAAACAGGAAACTACTATAGCTAACATGAATACATCTTCTCTTGATGGAAATAATGACGAAGATAATAGTAATACTAAAACTGTTGACGGAATATTAAACAAGTACAAAAATCGAATAGATGCTATTTATGATTTTTATACAGCTTCAGCCATTGATGTATTTCATCCTACAATGACAATTTCTCACTTTTCTCATTTTGTAAAGGATTGTCAATTGTGTGGACTTTCTCAAGGAACTTCGGCAGAACTTTTGTGGATAGCCGTCATGCGCTCTCTTAACGCCAAACAAAGTAAAAACTTGACAGAGAAGAAAAATCAAAATCGTGATATTAGACAGGGTAGTAGTAGTAGTAGTAGTAGTAGTAGTTCTAAAATTCAGAATAAAGATCTTTTTGTCTATCAGAGACTTGAAACAATCCCTAAGAATTTATTTGGTGAGGCTCTTTATATTCTTGCCAAAGAAAAATATCGTCAAAAACGGTCTTCAGAAGTCACTACACTTAGTGGCCTTGCGAATGTCTCTACCTTAGATGAAAAACCAGAAGAAACTTTTCTTACGTTTCTGCTGTATCACATATTTCCTTATGTTGATTCTGTTATGGAGGAAAAACAAAGACAAGATAATTTATCTTCATACTCTGTAATTAATCATGATGTTGAAAAGGTTGATTTTTCTACATCATTAGAAAATGATATTATTCAAGAATATAAAACAGATACTGTAAAGGCAGTCGTTAAGGAATTTATGGGTCGTATCAAAGAATGTTTTAGTTCAGCTATTAAAACGGCACAAGGGTATCACTGTACTGTAATGAACTTGGATGGTTTTGTTGAAGTTGCTCGTCGTTATGAACTACTTCCTCTTATCCGAAAATCTCATCTACGACAAATTTTTCTTTCCTGCAGTGAACTTGAGAGGGAGAAACATCCAGAGGCAGAAGAGGGAACAATCTCTGTGGGAACGTTTCTCCTGGCTTTGTATTACTTGGCTGATGGTATTTATGGTGATTCACTCATGAGAAAACAATTTCCAACTCCAGAAGCTCGAGTGAAAAAGCTTCTAACCAAAATGTTTTTCTTGAATTAGAAAAGCAACAACAAGAGAAAAACAATATTTATCGTTTGGTTAAAGAATTGCCATAATTCACTTCATTTTTCTTTTTTTTTTTCTTGTATTCTTTTGTAGTGTCTTCAAATATGTTTTTTTTTTTTTTT